TATTTTGCGCATTTTTGCATTATTTTTGCGTATCGCAAATTTTTGCGCAATATTTCGCACATATAAATTTACTGATGGACATTCTCTGATATGGATATTAACTCAGTTAATTTTCGTGAACTAGATGATAAGATCATCAATGCCGAAGATGATAATAAAAAAACTATTCTAGAAGTGATTTATATATATTATTATTTTGGGAAAGGATATATGTTATGGTTTAACCACTATATAAAAACATATAGTAAGGATATATCGAATTCTCTAGTTAATGATAAAATTTGGGAGCACTTTCCAGGCCAAAACAAAGTTTCAGAGGCTAATCTTAGAAAAAGGAAGGAAAGGGCAATAAAAATCTTTAAACTCTTTGATGGGGTTGGAGGGGAAGAAAAGATATATTGTATTAAGTTTTTTTCTGTATCAACTATTTTGAGACTAGGCGTGGATGATATTGATTATGTAAAAGCTAAGGTTTTAAAAGCAAGCCAATAAAATTTACTGCACCAAATTTTATTCAAGTGTGACCACCCTGGTCACAGCTACCGAAATTTTTCTGATTTTGATGAATATCAAATTTTTACTCAACTGTGACCGCCTGGTCACACTTGCCGAAGTTTTTCCATATTTTAACATTATCTAAACATGCTTATCGTTTCTATAAATAAAGTCAATGTATATGCTTATCAATTATTGTGGCAGCTGATGCTGAAATTGGCTGATACTAAAATTGGGGACCTCTATTTAAATCTACAATACCTACTAAAATTCATTTATACTCTTTTATTAATAAAACTACACCTAAACCCTAACCTAACCCTAAGAAAAAAAACCCTAACAAAAGGCCCCAAAAATTTTTAAAATTTAATATTAAAATATTTAAAATCTCAGCATCAGCCAATTTCAGCATCAGCTGCTACAATTATTTTTAAACTCATGTACTCCTATAAATGTTACTGCTTAATGGCTTACCTTTTTTTTTCTTATACAATTCTCCTGCCTTATGAGGCTTATAACAAGATAGAGCATAAATGCAAGTACACTAATTACGGGTTTGTATATACATATAAAAAAAAATAACCACGTGTATATTATTTTTTCTATTAATATACAAATATGGAATAATACAAATAAAAGAAGTTGAAATTAGAGTTAATACTTCAATCCGGATATAAATATATCCGGATGGATATTTTGTTAAAAATTTATAGTAAAACATAGTAATTATATCCGGATACATCCGGATATAAAATAAATCCGGATATAAAAACATAGTAAAGTATTAACTCTAGTCGAAATTATATCGAAAAGTGGTATATTTTTAAAGAGTGAAAGCACAGGTATAAGGTTTGTGATGAATGCAATCATCATTTACATTTATATTGCAAAACATGCAAAAAGGTGGCAAATAGAATATATAAGCGATGTGAATGCGATAACATGTTAGAATAAATTTCGCTTTATCTGTATTACTATATTTGCAAGGTATGCATAACTTATTTGTGAAATGAGGCACAAGCTCAAAGTGTTATTTTTCTGGAATTAGTACCTAACCAAAGTCAGTCAATTAACTCATATCAATATGCTCTGACTTTATTTTGTGGGGAGCCAACTCCAGACTGAAACCATATCTGGCCTAAATATGTACAATGTATGCATGTACTATGGAATATCAAGTTCTATGATTTTAGCTTTACATGCTCTATAACTCGTGATGCATACACTTACATAATTTATAGAATTCTTTGTATTATTGATAGAAATTTTTTTGCGTGGAAATACATGCCTCAACTTCTATCGTAGAACTTTTATTGATAAAGAGCGCATGTTTTTGCTTCTATTTAACCTTTCTAATATTTTGAGTTTCAGAAAAGAGGTGAAAGAAAAACATATAAAAGGGCAGTATTTCGAATTTATTCTTATTTGTCGCTCTGATGAATGGCGCCTTTCCAATATTGGATTTTTGAATTTGTAGAGGCTTTAGTCAAGGGGAAAGCCTGCTAACCTATTATTATAGATTCAACTCTATAAGAAATAGTGGTAATCCTGGGTGTCCATTAGTTTGCTAGTACTGGGACTTCAACATCTGTGGACGCATGAGAACACTCTGGCTTTAGTCTTACAAATTTTAAAATTCATATGCAGAAAAATGAGGAGGTATAGATCTGTAGGCCACAGAGAAATTGCAACCTCATTATATATTACTCTGATGACACAAGCTTGTGATAGAAAATATATTTATGAGTATTGAAAAATCTAATATATATCTGTTTTTGTGCCAGTTCAATGATGCCTTCGAAGGTATTCATAGTGTTTATAAAATAAGAATAGAAAGAACTTCCCTTACTGACCGAGAAATCAGTTGTAATATAGCTGATTTAAAAAGACAACTTGGGGTAAATATAGAAATGTATAAATTACTACTTTCATTTTGTGGTAAACGCATGCTTTGCTAATACTGATATTTTTAATAATTTTAAGGCATGTTCTTCTCCATTTGCTGAAGAATTACAAATAGAGCTAAACAACTTACCCGAATCAGATTTAACATAGGAGAATCCATTGGCTAGTAAAGTAATCAGTGATGAATCTGACTTAGTTAAAAAATTAAACTGGGGGCCCAAACAGTCTTTTATGAAACTTAAACAGTGAATGCAAGTTCAAACACCTTCCAATATAGAAAATATGTGTAATAATTTTGCTGAAAATTTTCATAATGATAATGTAGAAGCTTTACCACCAAAGTTTTCTCATAATAGTACATGGAAGGAAAGAGAGAAGGTATTATCAGATATTACTAAAGAAATTCTTTATTCCTTAGGTGATATTTGGCAAAATCCTGCCTTCGATGCAGAGTTTGCAGAAGGTCAAAGTGAAGGTACGTACACTTCCCTGACAAAAATCACCGGCTAACGATCATTTTTAGAAGTGATCTGCAAATTAAAGGATTCATTAAAAATTAATTTTTATGTAATTGTTAAAGAGTACATTGTAAATACTTATATAGTTAGATAGCTAAAGACTCGTAATTTTTAAAAATGTAAAGAAAATTTGTAATTGTGTTTGTAGTTTTTTCTCAATGTCACAAAAACGTAGAGAATTATCTAAAAGTAAACGAAGCCAAATAGTTGGTGCTTGGAGATGTGGTTCTCCAGTTCCAACTATTGTAACACAACTTAACTTTGCAAAAACA